TTTTTTTACTAAATTTTTTTGTTTTTTTCATATAAAAGTGAACTAGTTGTTGATCAAGCCGTCGTAATCTTGCATTAGCAAGATCTCTCTTATTTGAGTTACTCCTCCATTACCTTTGTGAACCGTTTCGTCGTCAATTCTCCTGTCATTCACTAGTTTGTAGTGTCTGCATACTGGACGGTTTCTTCTACGTGGTCTTCGTGGTCGTGGCGTTGTCATGACAAGTGGTGCCTCCTCCATGAGTGACTTACGTGCACCGGTAGATGTCATGAATATGGCATTGCTTTGGGGAGTGTCCGGTGCAGATGCCAGACTTATGATTAGCGGTACGCTGTATGAGTTTGTTCATTAGCTGATTTCTTTGATTTATCGAAATTTTGCGAAGTAGCCCAGCAGCCTTAAAATTATGTGCCAACTCAAAAGAAAGCTGCAGTGACTTCTAAAGGCATTTGTCTCTCAATGGCTGAACTTTAGCATCTGCTTCTCATTACTTAATAGAAAATTGTTTTTAGTGCGCATTTTCAGTAGCATCTACAGTATTCCAAAACACCTGAAACTGCTTGAAGTCGGTTGATTTGGAGATGAGAGCTCTTTGCTCTGTGGCAGATTATTCTTTATGCTCATTGTAGGTAATGCTAGACAAATCTTACTACGGGCCGAAGCGCGCCGTACTGTTGGGGGTGCACTGCATGTGACACCTTTGGAAGTTTGGGAAAATGAGGAAGGTGGTAAAAGCATAAGTGCAGATGTCCCTTCTTGCCGAGTTACCAGTTCTAGCGCCTTACAACGGCTCCTTAACGTCAAGGAATTTCGCGCAAAGGTAGTTAGCAGGTCTAGTTCTCTTGTGGAAAATAATCCTTCAGTCAATTGAAACCGGTTCTTTTAGGTTGAGATCGTAGCCACAGAGGAGACTAAAGGGAACACTACTGATTCCGGCTCCTAATATTGTTACTGTTTTTTGCTTTGGTTGTTACCAGTATGTTGTTGATTTTTACAAGCTGTTGTTTTTGTTGACAATTAAAGTTTATGTTTCTCTCGCGCAATTTTTTATGTGTTCGCCTACCGCTCAACATCCTACACATTCTTCCTGCCTTGAATGCTTCGAAAAAAATTTCAGCATGAGAAGGTTGGAAAACCTCAAATTATGGTACGCATGGCGAATTCGACGGTTTTTCCGGATGAGAAATCAGACGATAGCTCCTATACAGTGGGATGAGCCTTTGCTGAAAGTATTACCTGATAGGACCCTCGGCGGTAGATTAGATAGTGGACAGATCCAAAAATTTGACTCTATTGTACGCGAAGTCAAGGTTAGTACTAGTAATTGCATCCTTCCTTTGTCATCCGTGCGGTTCAATGTTTTAGACAATTTCTATGTTGACCAAATACTTCCCATCGAGAATAACAGATGAGGATTGGCAAATATTGCTTGAGTGCGAAACGAGAAAACAGAGATTCGACCACATAAAGTTTCTTCGGAGTCGTGAGCTGGAGAAAATCAAAGATTTGGAGAAGAAACGGGCAAAGGAAAAACTTGAAAAACTCCAAAAACCTAGAGCGCTTTCGGATAATCCTCCTCCACTATACTACCCTGCCACAAAACTGGGTAAATTCAGTAATTCTAACTGAGCAATCTAATAGTTCACATAACTGTGTTCTTTTTTGAGTGAAGGATCAACGTCGTCACCAATGGTACAAGGTAGCCCTTGCCTATTTGTGTAACGCTCCTCGTATAGTAATCGACTGCCGCTTTTTACCGTTATTGTCACCTCGAGGGGCGGAATTGACTGCGGTGCAGCTGAACTACCTCATCAGCGAGAATCGTGATAGCAAGTGAGAAGACTTTTATGAAGTTTTTGATTTTGAGACATTTTTTAGGACGCCATGGCAGGTGTACTTTGCGAATTTTGATCTTTCATCGAAGCGAGTTCAACGTCTCCAGCAGAAGTAAGTATCATTTTGAATAAAAAACCAATACGTAGATCGATTAAACTAGGAAGTAGTCCGTTGAAGGTAGCGTCCCCTCAAACTGGTGGGTACTGGAATCTCACAGGCTTGTGATGGCGGACCCCGAAACTAATCTATCGGTGAAGTTTGGAGCGAAAAAGCACTTCTAGAAAGCCCAAA